TGTATAATTTCCTTTGGTATGTACATGTTTGATGCAATATAAGTTAAATTTGGAAGAATTAATGATTTTACTACTATTATTTTGCCTATTAATGTTAAGTTTCTTTTCATCCAATTTGATAGTATCTTTTCACATTTTTTTAGCTGTTTATCAGTGTTTAGTTTTTGACAGTCTTGATTGTTATAACCAAAGTAAAAGCCAAGACTTTTAATATTATCTGTTTTCCAATTTATGTTTTCAAATTTGTCTCTACTATGTTTAAGTTTTCCTAACCAAAATCCCTCTGTTTTATTTCTGTTTAACTGTAATCCTGAGAAGCTTCCAAAAGTTTCAATTATATTCATTGCTAAACTAACATCTTTTGGTGATTTGAGAAATAGGGTTGTATCATCTGCGAGTTGACATATTTTCAGTGAGCAGTTTTTACCATCTAATTTCACCTCTAAACCCTTGAGGCTATTATTTTGTCTTAGTTTAATTGCCATAATTTCAACTACCAATACGAAAGCTAACGAAGAAATTGGACATCCTTGTCGAATTCCGCGAAAAATATTAAAACTGCTGGACACCCAACCATTGTTGAGTATACAGCCTTTTATGTCTGTGTACATTGTTTGAATCCATCTTATAAAACTACTTTTGAAGCCAAATTTTTCCAAGGTTTCTGACATAAAGTTCCATTCAAGGGAGTCAAATGCCTTTGAAAAATCAACAAAAAGTATAGCTCCATCTACTTTAAAGTTCTCTGAGTAATCAATAATATCTTGTATTTGCCTGATATTGAAGCCTATGTATCTGTTTTTTATGTAACCTTTCTGGTCAGTATGAATTATTTTTGGTAATACTAGTTTTAATCTTTGAGCAAGTGCATAAGCTAACAATTTTACATCATAATTTAACAGAGTTATTGGACGATAATTATTTAAAGAAAGTGGATCTTCTTTTTTATATATTAATGATATTGCCCCAACTTTTTGTGAATTTGACAATTCTCCTTTTTCATGGCAAAAATTGAATACAGATACAATTAATTCTTTTATTTTTTCCCAAAATCTTCTGTAAAATTCAACATTAAGTCCATCTAAACCTGGAGCTTTATTTAGTTTCATTTTGAATATAGCATCTGTACATTCCTGCACTGTGATTTTTCCTTCACATAAATTACTTTCACTATCACTTAATTTTGGACATTTTTTAATATCGTTTAAGTACTTTTTGGTATCTTCAACATCTGGATTAGTAGAGGAATATAAATTTTTATAATAGTTAACTTCAAGGTCAAGTATTTTTTCTTGATCAGTAATTATATTATTGTTTACATCATATAATCTAGTAATGGTTTTTTTGCACTGCCTGGCTTTTTCAAGACCTAAGAAGTATGAGGTATTTTTTTCTCCCTCTTCAATCCATTTCACCCTTGATCTTATTTGATTGCCTTTTATTTTTTCATTGTACAGATTTCCTAATTCTTGTTCTACTTTCTCTATTTTTTCAATCAGGTAGGTATTTGTTTCATTAACTCTGATGTTATTTGTATGAATTTCATTATTTAGTTGTATTAGTTGATTTTCTAATACATTGATTGAATCTTTTTTGTTTAGGGCTTTCAATTTACAGAACTGAATTGTACAATCTCGAACCTCTATTTTAAAATTGTCCCATAAAATAGCTAGATTTTTTGAATCATTTGCTTTAATTTTATAGTTGTTAATGAGATTGTATATTATTTTTAGGTAAATTTCATTGTTTAAAACACTACTATTTAATTTCCAGTAACCACGTCCTTTATTATTTCTTGACATTTGTAATTTTAAAGATACACTATTGTGGTCAGTGTATTGAATAACAATTGGTCTAATATCACAAGAGGAGCAATTTTTTTTAATTTCAGTACTAACAAGGAAATAGTCAATTCTTGTGGCTTCTGTTTTATTTCTTTTACACCAGGTGAAATGAGTTTTATCTCGGTTTTTTTCACGCCAAATATCTGTTATTTTAAGAGATTTAATTAAAGTTTTAAGTCCGGATACTGGTTTATCAAATTTTGTTCTTTTATTTTTATTTTTTGTATCTTTTTCAGATAAGATATCGTTAAAATCTCCTCCTATTATTAATTGTCCAAGACTATATTTGTCTATAAAAGTTTTAACTGATTTAAAAAAGGTGTTTCTTAGTTTATTGTTATTTGGTGCATAAACGTTTGCAATTGTAAGTATGCTTTCATCAATTTCTATATTTATCAGAAGAAGTCTCCCGTCTTTATCCTTATAATAGTCAATAAATTTGTAATTAAGCCTACTTTTTAACCATATGGATACCCCTCTAGCATTGCTCTGACCATTGCTGAAGAACAATTCCCCTTCAAATTCTTTTTTTAAAGATTCTTCTAAGCTGTCAGTAAAATGTGTTTCTTGTATAAGAAGGATATCACATTTTTGTTGTTTTGTCCATTCAATTAGACGTTTTCTTTTTTCAGTTTGCTGTAGTCCCTTAGAATTGACTGTACAGATGTGAAGTTTTGGATCAGCCATGATTGTTATTATTAAAAGGTAAGAATTAATTTAGCTTTATGATTGGGAAACCCCCATCTATTTATAGTATCAATTATCGATGTTGTGCCTTCTGCTACTGTTTCACGCAGGTTTACTTTAACTAACAGGTGAAAAATTATCGGCTGTTTTGTTGTGTTTTTAACAATGTATTCTTTATATTTTCTACATAGTGCACAATGTTTTACTATACGTAGTGATCCTATATAAAAACATATTAAATAGTGTTCACATTTTATCACATTATTTAATTATACAGTATCATTAATATATAACGTAACGGTATTATGTAAAACAATATTACACAGTGTTGTTTTCAAGTTAACAATGCATACAATTTTTACACAGAATGACCTCGCCTTACGGGTCATTATTTGGGTCAACAGCGTGACTTTGTTTACAAACTGAGCTGTGACAAACGTATACCACACACAGCTTGTGAATACAATAATTGAGAAATAAATTTTACTCAAAACAAAAAATATACATAAGTTGCAATGCTTCTGTTGAGAAAAATATTTACATGAATATATTATACAAAAGTTATATTTACAAAGTTTACAGTAGATTAACATAATGAGTAATTTACATAAATATGTACATTTTTTTTTATCAGTACTATATGTGTTGCATTTGTCAGGACTAGATCGTAATGGTTTGTTATCCTCATACTTCTTTGCTTTTATTTTGGTATATTGTTTTTTGTAACTATTGAATGCTAAAAGAGTTATTATTTTTTTCAGGAAATATATGCTATTTTCCAATTTGGACTCAAAACTATGCACATCATTTAAATACGAAATATGAGCATATGTGCAGCTGCATGCGTGATTCTGGATTTGTACACCGGTTGTCAATTTACTATTCATTTTTGGTGTACAAAAGTGTGTTCTTTGCATATCTGTGTACAGTATTGAAAAGTGATATATGTAATTATTTTGTGATCTAAGAAGAATCATTTTAAGGCACATCTGGATCAATTGGAGCTGTGGTGAGGAAAGTGCAAACTTTAAATAAAATATGTAATTCACCAGAGATACTAATTGTGGAATGTATGTGGACTTACTACTACATGTATATAGAGTGGTACTTTGTTCAACTTTGCTGTGAATGAGTTTTGTTACAAGTGTCATCATGATCATACAAAAAATAAATATCACTGCACATGTATTACAGTATAATATTAAATTAGTGTTGCATTTATTTGTTTTCATATAAAGTTTCTGCAAACTGTTTGTTTTTACAGTACTGATAAATACCATTGGGTTTCAGTTGATATGATTAAGTTGCCAAAGTTTTTGACCGTTTTACTGTGGTATCACCCTCATTATCGTGCAGAACATGGGTCGGGGTAACCGGAGACCGTTCCACGTTTCTGTTAGCTTTTAGTTTTGCAGGAGTTGATACAGACTCCTGTTGTTCTGATACAAATGATGTAATTTGAGTTTGTGTTGTCTTTTTCCCTTTTTTCTCTTTTTTTGTTTTTCTTTTCCTTTCCTCCTGAGTTGGTACAGACTGGGGCATATCACTGTCGTCTTCATGTACGCTCGTAGATTCATGTTCACTAATTGTTGGTGGATCATCTGTGTGACTTGGTTGTTGTGTAGCATCAGTATCTACAGAAGTGTCATCATCAGCATGTGTGTTTTCATTTGCATCATTTGTGCTTTGATGTACATCAGATTGTTGATTGGTATCAGAAAGATCATTTTCCATACAGTCCATTTGTTTATGACCTTCCTTACCACATGATTTACAAACCCAGTCATTAGGGCAATTGCTTATATTGTGGCCATCAGCTAGACATTTTGAGCACTTTTTTGGACGACTGTTTGTCACTGGTTGATCGCGGTACATAACTGTGGCTCTGTATTTTCCTATTGCAATAGAGCGAGGAATGTGTTGGGGTAAGGGACCCTCACATATAACAATTCTTTTTATTTTTCACTCTATTCGGTCCTGCCTTTTTTTTTTAGTTTATCATGACTTTTTTTTTACATAAATTGTCATCCTGCCTTTTTTGTTTGCAACTAATCTCATCCTGCCTTTTTTTTTATTTCAAAACTCCTGTCCTGCCTATTTTTTTCAAATTTCATCCTAGCCCCCCCCCCCCCCCCCCCCCCCCCTTAAAAATCAAATGGTAGCTCCCTAACCATCAGAATCAAGTGTTTCACAACATTATAAAATTGAGAATGGAAATGGGGAATGTGTCAAAGAGACAACAACCCGACCATAAGGTAGACACCGTTAGAAAAAAAAAACATTGTAACCTGTCTTCCCATGTATGTAACCATTGAAACCTGATTCTCCATGTATGTAACCATTGTATCCAGATTCCCCATGTATGAAACCATTGTAACTAGATTCCCCATGTATGTAACCATTGTAACCCTGATTCTCCATGTATGTAACCATTGTAACCTGATTCTCCATGTATGTAACCATTGTAACCCTGATTTCCCATGCCTGTAACCATTGTAACCCTGATTCTCCATGTATGTAACCATTGTAACTAGATTCCCTATGTATGTAACCATTCTAACCCTGATTCTCCATGTATGTAACCATTGTAACCTGATTCTCCATGTATGTAACCATTGTAACCCTGATTCTCCATATATGTAACCATTGTAACCTGACTTTTCCATGCATGTAACCATTGTAACCTGATTTTCCATGCATGTAACCATTGTAACCCGATTTCCCATGCATGTAACCATTGTTACCAGATTCCCCATGTATGTAACCATTGTAACCTGATTCTCCATGTATGTAACCATTGTAACCCTGATTCTCCATGCATGTAACCATTGTAACCTGACTTTCCCATGCATGTAACCATTGTAACCTGATTTTCCATGCATGTAACCATTGTAACTAGATTCCCCATGTATGTAACCATTATAACCCTGATTCTCCATGTATGTAACCATTGTAACCTGACTTTCCCATGCCTGTAACCATTGTAACCTCATTCTCCATGTATGTAACCATTGTAACCCGACTTTCCCATGCATGTAACCATTGTAACCCTGATTCTCCATGTATGTAACCATTGTAACCCTGATTCTCCATGTATGTAACCATTGTAACCTGATTCTCCATGTATGTAACCATTGTAACCCTGATTCTCCATATATGTAACCATTGTAACCTGACTTTTCTATGCATGTAACCATTGTAACCTGATTTCCCATGTATGTAACCATTGTAACCCTGATTCTCCATGTATGTAACCATTGTAAACCTGATTCTCCATGTATGTAACCATTGTAACCTGACTTTTCCATGCTTGTAACCATTGTAACCTCATTCTCCATGTATGTAACCATTGTAACCCGACTTTCCCATGCATGTAACCATTGTAACCCTGATTCTCCATGTATGTAACCATTGTAACCTGATTCTCCATGTATGTAACCATTGTAACCCTGATTCTCCATATATGTAACCATTGCAACCTGACTTTTCCATGCATGTAACCATTGTAACCTGATTTCCCATGTATGTAACCATTGTAACCAGATTCCCCATGTATGTAACCATTGTAACCCTGATTCTCCATGTATGTAACCATTGTAACCTGATTCTCCATGTATGTAACCATTGTAACCCTGATTCTCCATATATGTAACCATTGTAACCTGACTTTTCGATGCATGTAACCATTGTAACCTGATTTCCCATGTATGTAACCATTGTAACCTGATTCTCCATGTATGTAACCATTGTAACCCTGATTCTCCATATATGTAACCATTGTAACCTGACTTTTCCATGCATGTAACCATTGTAACCTGATTTCCCATGTATGTAACCATTGTAACCAGATTCCCCATGTATGTAACCATTGTAACCCTGATTCTCCATGTATGTAACCATTGTAACCTGATTCTCCATGTAAATAACCATTGTAACCCTGATTCTCCATATATGTAACCATTGTAACCTGACTTTTCGATGCATGTAACCATTGTAACCTGATTTCCCATGTATGTAACCATTGTAACCTGATTCTCCATGTATGTAACCATTGTAACCCTGATTCTCCATATATGTAACCATTGTAACCTGACTTTTCCATGCATGTAACCATTGTAACCTGATTTCCCATGTATGTAACCATTGTAACCCTGATTCTCCATGTATGTAACCATTGTAACCCTGATTCTCCATGTATGTAACCATTGTAACCTGATTCTCCATGTATGTAACCATTGTAACCCTGATTCTCCATATATGTAACCATTGTAACCTGACTTTTCCATGCATGTAACCATTGTAACCTGATTTCCCATGTATGTAACCATTGTAACCCTGATTCTCCATGTATGTAACCATTGTAACCCTGATTCTCCATGCATGTAACCATTGTAACCTGACTTTCCCATGCATGTAACCATTGTAACCTGATTTCCCATGCATGTAACCATTGTAACCAGATTCCCCATGTATGTAACCATTGTAACCTGATTCTCCATGTATGTAACCATTGTATCCCTGATTCTCCATGTATGTAACCATTGCAACCTGACTTTCCCATGCCTGTAACCATTATAATCCAACTTTCCCATGTATGTAACCATTGTAACCCTGATTTTCCATGCATGTAACCATTGTAACCTGATTTCCCATGCATGTAACCATTGTAACCAGATTCCCCATGTATGTAACCATTGTAACCTGATTCTCCATGTATGTAACCATTGTATCCCTGATTCTCCATGTATGTAACCATTGCAACCTGACTTTCCCATGCCTGTAACCATTATAATCCAACTTTCCCATGTATGTAACCATTTTAACCCTGATTCTCCATGTATGTAACCATTGTAACCTGATTTTCCCATGCATGTAACCATTGTAACCTGACTTTCCCATGCATGTAACCATTGTAACCTGATTCACCATGTATGTAACCATTGTAACTAGATTCCCCATGTATGTAACCATTGTAACCCTGATTCTCCATGTATGTAACCATTGTAACCTGACTTTCCCATGCTGATAATTAAATGAAGGTTATTTCAATGGAATTATTTACCAGATAAATATTGTGACATCAAAAACACCTTAAATATGTTTTAATATAAAAAGAAGTTTAATAGTTTATATTTCTGCAAACTTTAAATAAAATATGTAATTCACCAGAGATACTAATTGTGGAATGTATGTGGACTTACTACTACATGTATATAGAGTGGTACTTTGTTCAACTTTGCTGTGAATGAGTTTTGTTACAAGTGTCATCATGATCATACAAAAAATAAATATCACTGCACATGTATTACAGTATAATATTAAATTAGTGTTGCATTTATTTGTTTTCATATAAAGTTTCTGCAAACTGTTTGTTTTTACAGTACTGATAAATACCATTGGGTTTCAGTTGATATGATTAAGTTGCCAAAGTTTTTGACCGTTTTACTGTGGTATCACCCTCATTATCGTGCAGAACATGGGTCGGGGTAACCGGAGACCGTTCCACGTTTCTGTTAGCTTTTAGTTTTGCAGGAGTTGATACAGACTCCTGTTGTTCTGATACAAATGATGTAATTTGAGTTTGTGTTGTCTTTTTCCCTTTTTTCTCTTTTTTTGTTTTTCTTTTCCTTTCCTCCTGAGTTGGTACAGACTGGGGCATATCACTGTCGTCTTCATGTACGCTCGTAGATTCATGTTCACTAATTGTTGGTGGATCATCTGTGTGACTTGGTTGTTGTGTAGCATCAGTATCTACAGAAGTGTCATCATCAGCATGTGTGTTTTCATTTGCATCATTTGTGCTTTGATGTACATCAGATTGTTGATTGGTATCAGAAAGATCATTTTCCATACAGTCCATTTGTTTATGACCTTCCTTACCACATGATTTACAAACCCAGTCATTAGGGCAATTGCTTATATTGTGGCCATCAGCTAGACATTTTGAGCACTTTTTTGGACGACTGTTTGTCACTGGTTGATCGCGGTACATAACTGTGGCTCTGTATTTTCCTATTGCAATAGAGCGAGGAATGTGTTGGGGTAAGGGACCCTCACATATAACAATTCTTTTTATTTTTCACTCTATTCGGTCCTGCCTTTTTTTTTTAGTTTATCATGACTTTTTTTTTACATAAATTGTCATCCTGCCTTTTTTGTTTGCAACTAATCTCATCCTGCCTTTTTTTTTATTTCAAAACTCCTGTCCTGCCTATTTTTTTCAAATTTCATCCTAGCCCCCCCCCCCCCCCCCCCTTAAAAATCAAATGGTAGCTCCCTAACCATCAGAATCAAGTGTTTCACAACATTATAAAATTGAGAATGGAAATGGGGAATGTGTCAAAGAGACAACAACCCGACCATAAGGTAGACACCGTTAGAAAAAAAAAACATTGTAACCTGTCTCCCCATGTATGTAACCATTGAAACCTGATTCTCCATGTATGTAACCATTGTATCCAGATTCCCCATGTATGAAACCATTGTAACTAGATTCCCCATGTATGTAACCATTGTAACCCTGATTCTCCATGTATGTAACCATTGTAACCTGATTCTCCATGTATGTAACCATTGTAACCCTGATTTCCCATGCCTGTAACCATTGTAACCCTGATTCTCCATGTATGTAACCATTGTAACTAGATTCCCTATGTATGTAACCATTCTAACCCTGATTCTCCATGTATGTAACCATTGTAACCTGATTCTCCATGTATGTAACCATTGTAACCCTGATTCTCCATATATGTAACCATTGTAACCTGACTTTTCCATGCATGTAACCATTGTAACCTGATTTTCCATGCATGTAACCATTGTAACCCGATTTCCCATGCATGTAACCATTGTTACCAGATTCCCCATGTATGTAACCATTGTAACCTGATTCTCCATGTATGTAACCATTGTAACCCTGATTCTCCATGCATGTAACCATTGTAACCTGACTTTCCCATGCATGTAACCATTGTAACCTGATTTTCCATGCATGTAACCATTGTAACTAGATTCCCCATGTATGTAACCATTATAACCCTGATTCTCCATGTATGTAACCATTGTAACCTGACTTTCCCATGCCTGTAACCATTGTAACCTCATTCTCCATGTATGTAACCATTGTAACCCGACTTTCCCATGCATGTAACCATTGTAACCCTGATTCTCCATGTATGTAACCATTGTAACCCTGATTCTCCATGTATGTAACCATTGTAACCTGATTCTCCATGTATGTAACCATTGTAACCCTGATTCTCCATATATGTAACCATTGTAACCTGACTTTTCTATGCATGTAACCATTGTAACCTGATTTCCCATGTATGTAACCATTGTAACCCTGATTCTCCATGTATGTAACCATTGTAAACCTGATTCTCCATGTATGTAACCATTGTAACCTGACTTTTCCATGCTTGTAACCATTGTAACCTCATTCTCCATGTATGTAACCATTGTAACCCGACTTTCCCATGCATGTAACCATTGTAACCCTGATTCTCCATGTATGTAACCATTGTAACCTGATTCTCCATGTATGTAACCATTGTAACCCTGATTCTCCATATATGTAACCATTGCAACCTGACTTTTCCATGCATGTAACCATTGTAACCTGATTTCCCATGTATGTAACCATTGTAACCAGATTCCCCATGTATGTAACCATTGTAACCCTGATTCTCCATGTATGTAACCATTGTAACCTGATTCTCCATGTATGTAACCATTGTAACCCTGATTCTCCATATATGTAACCATTGTAACCTGACTTTTCGATGCATGTAACCATTGTAACCTGATTTCCCATGTATGTAACCATTGTAACCTGATTCTCCATGTATGTAACCATTGTAACCCTGATTCTCCATATATGTAACCATTGTAACCTGACTTTTCCATGCATGTAACCATTGTAACCTGATTTCCCATGTATGTAACCATTGTAACCAGATTCCCCATGTATGTAACCATTGTAACCCTGATTCTCCATGTATGTAACCATTGTAACCTGATTCTCCATGTATGTAACCATTGTAACCCTGATTCTCCATATATGTAACCATTGTAACCTGACTTTTCGATGCATGTAACCATTGTAACCTGATTTCCCATGTATGTAACCATTGTAACCTGATTCTCCATGTATGTAACCATTGTAACCCTGATTCTCCATATATGTAACCATTGTAACCTGACTTTTCCATGCATGTAACCATTGTAACCTGATTTCCCATGTATGTAACCATTGTAACCCTGATTCTCCATGTATGTAACCATTGTAACCCTGATTCTCCATGTATGTAACCATTGTAACCTGATTCTCCATGTATGTAACCATTGTAACCCTGATTCTCCATATATGTAACCATTGTAACCTGACTTTTCCATGCATGTAACCATTGTAACCTGATTTCCCATGTATGTAACCATTGTAACCCTGATTCTCCATGTATGTAACCATTGTAACCCTGATTCTCCATGCATGTAACCATTGTAACCTGACTTTCCCATGCATGTAACCATTGTAACCTGATTTCCCATGCATGTAACCATTGTAACCAGATTCCCCATGTATGTAACCATTGTAACCTGATTCTCCATGTATGTAACCATTGTATCCCTGATTCTCCATGTATGTAACCATTGCAACCTGACTTTCCCATGCCTGTAACCATTATAATCCAACTTTCCCATGTATGTAACCATTGTAACCCTGATTTTCCATGCATGTAACCATTGTAACCTGATTTCCCATGCATGTAACCATTGTAACCAGATTCCCCATGTATGTAACCATTGTAACCTGATTCTCCATGTATGTAACCATTGTATCCCTGATTCTCCATGTATGTAACCATTGCAACCTGACTTTCCCATGCCTGTAACCATTATAATCCAACTTTCCCATGTATGTAACCATTTTAACCCTGATTCTCCATGTATGTAACCATTGTAACCTGATTTTCCCA